GCTCTCTCCAGCCAGCCTGCCCGGCGTGTTCTCCAGCGCCACCCGTCCCTCAGGTACCGTGGCCTGTTGATGCTCCGTGGTGCCCAGGCCGGGCTGGTGCTCCTGAGTCTCGGAGCCTGCCTGAGCCGGTGGCTCTGCTGGCGTTTTGGCTTCGTTAGGTGGTGCCCCGTTCCCGAGGGAGCAGACACCTCACCACCGGGCCAAAATCTCAGGGACTACCTTGCCTCCCCCCTCCCCAGCTGAGGGGGAGCTTGGCAGGGGTTGTGCTGTGTAACTGAGGGTGTCTGTTTTGGACATGGCAGAAACAAAAATCAGTCTGTCCTTTAAAACTAAACTGATGCAGTTATTGAAAAATACATATCTGGTGTAACATTGACCTGCATGTGTAGGTTGGCACCCTATGAAGTATGCCCTTTTCCCCATCTCTGGTAAAGATTTTATGGAGCCTCAAGTGGTTTGTGAGTTGAATTGTGCTTTTGAGAACATCACCTTAAGATGTGATAGCATATGCATGCTGTAACTGTGATCAATGAATTCGGCATGAAGCAGAACCTACTTTCCTAGCTGCACTTGACGATTTCATAGCATGAGTGAGTAGCTTAAAACTGGAACTGCTGTTTTTGGAAAACCCTGGCCTGTTCTGATAGTTAGGATCTAATATTCACCTCTGGCTTCAAATAGCAGAGTTGATACTTAGGTATGAATTGCTTTTTTCTTTTTTGTCTGAGTTGTTAAAACCTGGATGCATTTTTTGCACAGGAGATATATTTCCTTATATGTCAGAAGTGATTCTTTATTGATTAAAAAGAAAAAAAGCTTTTCACTGAGAAGTTAGAAATATCTTGGGTTTAGAATACTCTTGTAGGTTATAGCCCTTTGCTGAGCTTTGTGTCTCTTATCTACAGTAATCCTCTTTATTTTTTGTAATAGTTAAAACTGAGTACAGGAAGGTCGCTTTGTGTGTCGAAGGAGATCTTGTGGAGTTTTTAAGAGCTGGTGATCAGGCACCGTAACCTAATCTGCTGTTAAGTATTTAGTTGTTGACTGGTCTTTGAGCTCACGAAAACCCATGGCAAAATAAAATCACTAGAGGTCTCAAGTATTATTTTTTTTAACTTGACTGGTTTGACAGTTCTAGCCTTTTATGAAACTGAAAAACAAGGTATGTATTATCCTACTTGATATTGCACCAGATGGTATTTTGATGGTCACAGCAACTTGTAGAGCTGTATTGCTCAGGCTTTTGGATATTTCATTCTTGCTCTTATGTGATCCACCACTGGATGTGAGAGCCAGACTCTTGTAAGTCTGGGTTGTTTTGTTGATTAAATGCCCACATGGAGATTTAATGCTCTAGCAGGCCTTCCTGCTGCATTTATGGTGAATATCTTTGAGGTGTTCTTTGTATATGATTAATAACTGGTCAGTGTTCCACACTGTCTGGAGTGGCAGTTCTAGTTCTCAGCTTCTCACTCGTGCTGTGAAATCTTCATGTGTCTAGCAGAGTACTCCTCTGCTTCAAGAAGCTGAAGGTAAAATTCAGAATTTCTGAATTTGTTGGTCCAGGCATACATTTGCATGATATCTCAAAGAAGCAATAATGTATTAGAGAGCTGTTTTGTGGAGAAAGCCTAGTCTGTTCCACTTGCTCTATGGAGCATATGTACTATGGAGATCTGGGATTAAATAACAGGGTTAAAGCCTAACAAATGAGATGCTTTTTTTTTTTTTTTTCTTTCTTTCAGTAACTCATCCAGAAACTGTTGGTCCCGTCTTCATCCTGTTAACATGTTCAACAGTTATACTGTCAAGTTCTCCCACAGCAAAGCTCTCACCTCCCCATATCCAGGATCACATGTTGAGCGTAGCCAAGTTCCTGAAGATAAAGTGGGCTGGCTGATTGAGTGGAAAGATTATAATCCTGTGGAGTACACTGCAATGTCTGTTTTGGCTGGACCCAATTGGGCAGATCCCCAAATCAAGTGCGTGGAAGTTGTGGCTCTTTTCTCCTTTGAACATGGAACCAGGAAGTAGTGACAGCTGAGTTAATAAGATCATCAGCTTAAGTAACATGCAATTCTACAGTGATGTGTGAAAGTCAAGACCTAGAAAAATGGTGGTTAGAGAACTGAATGGTTTGGGTTAGCTGTGAAGATCTTCGACACATCATTTTACTGAGCTGGTGATTGAGATAAGAGTACTGTTAATTGGAATAATGGACAGCTGTTGATGCTGTGTAGTGCTGCTTCTCTGTGTTGTGAGCTAAGTAAAATACTCCTAATTCTCCATAAGAATTTGGGAGAACATTTTCATAATATTCTTTTTTTGTTCATAGATTAATTATTTTCTCATCTTTCCTTCCATAATATTCTTTTTTTGTTCATAGATTGAAGGAAAGATGAGAAAATAATTAAAGTAGAATTGTAGTTCTTGAGTTCAGTGCTCTGATTCAGGATACATGACAGCTTGAATGCATGACTAATTCTTTTTTTTGTGCATGTCTGTATTCTTTTTTATTGATTCTATGAATATATTCTCCTCTCAAGGAATGCTGTATGCTTCTTGGCTAGAATGGTGGATGCATGCATCTAGTGTAACTTGTGATAACGTGAAATGGTGACTCCTGTGTATGCACATCTGTGAAGAGTGATCAGAAGGTGGTGGCACTTGAGGTTTCAGCCTGACCTTCCTTGTTTCCAATTGCTGTGTGAACATGTGCTTCTATTTGCTTTTAATTTCATTTAGTATTCTGCTGATTGGAAGGCACACTAGTCCTCAGATTCCGTAGGGCTGCTGATCCTCTGCCAAGGCATAGTTGGGAAAGTGTTAAGTAATCTTTTAGTAGGTGTTGGTAATACTTGAAAATGCAGAGCCATTTTTTAGGTATTACTGTAACTTCTCGATTGGATGCTGTGTGGAAGAAGCTAGTTGATGGAAGAAGCTAGTTGATAGTTTGAAACCTGTGATGGTTTGAGAGGAATTGCTTTTGGGAAAGGCAGTATGCTTCTGTAGCAGATAGCTGCTTCTCTGCCAGTTTTCAGATGTGCACATAGGAGATTTGCATTAAGCTAATCTTGAAAATCAGTGATTGTTAGCTTGTAGCTCTGATAACTCATATTTAATTTTAAAAAATAGCAGATTTTTTTATTAGCAGAATCTTTTTTAGCTTTATCAATGGATAACATCCTGTGTTCTCTAGCCTTAACAAGGATACATTTGGAACACTTTGGCTAAAGGAAAATCTAGAGAGAGGCAATGTTAAATACTTTAGAGGGGCACACCTGTGTCTGCAGAACTAAATACAGGGAGACTGTCATCAGTAAAGATTGAGACTTTGTAGCCTCCTATAGAAAAAGGAGGACCTGCAACTTAACTTGTGATAAAAACTATTCACTGGTCAAATGGTTGTTGCCAATCTGGTGGTTAGCTTTCAAGCTTTTGTGGGGCAGAGGGTTTTTTTTTATAACTTATTGCTATTAATTTATTCTTTCCCACACAGTGATAAAGGTTTTTCTCCCAAATTCAATGAGAGAGATGGAGACGTGGAGAGGAAGAGCCTGAATGGTGTGTATGTGGTTGAAAACGGGAGGCCCCGGTGAGTGTGGGTTTTTTTTTTTTGTGTGTGCATATTCATTTCAGTGATGTAATTTCAGAGCTCTTGGAGGTCTATCAGTTTTGATATGTGGTGCCTGCTAGACCAAAATCAAGATATGTTTCCCCTAGACACAGGAAAAATGATACCTCAGGGCCAGAGGGTTCTTTCTGGAAGATTGTTGTGGCAGAGAGGGACTAAAAGGTTAGCCAGTACTACCACAACAGAGGGTTGTGATGACACTGGAGCTGGAGGAGGTCTAACACTTAGTGGTAGGGTCTGTTGAATTAATTATTTCCACAGTTTGATCAGGTGTTGGGCAGTGAAGCTTTTGTACCACTTGTGTGCTGTGGCAGAACAGAAGAGTATTTCTTTCCACTGACAAATCCTGGCATAGCACGGATCGGTAATCTCACCTGAAAATAATGTCTTTTCTTTCTGCCTTTTGTACATAATTGAATGCTCTGTGCATCTTGGAAACTAGATTGCATTTTCAGACAAGGTTGTGTGCACAATGAATAATGCTTGATCAGGAGTACTTCAGGACACAGGATCTGGGAAATTACAAAGTCATTTTGTATATTTCCTTTCCCTGTACTATCAAATATAGAAAGGTTGATGAAGAGAGAAGACCATGCTTTGTCTGTCTTGCTCTTTAAAGCATGAATATATGTTGCTATCCTTTCCTTTATTGTTATTTAAGATTCATTAAAGCTGCTTTTTTTAGAATACTTCTGAATGTGGGAACTAAGTATGTTTAATGTACTGTGCCACTTATTTCAGAAATCCAGTGGGAAGGACTGGCCTCATAGGCAGAGGATTGTTAGGACGCTGGGGACCAAACCATGCTGCTGATCCTGTTGTAACTAGGTAAGGGACATGTGACTGAAAGGTGCCCTGCAAAAAAACTATGTATTTTGCCTTTTCTGTGCATCTCTGGATAGGCTATTACTTTTCATGGGCCTTTCGTGTGTATTCCTCTATGTGTAAGCCCATTCAGATATGGGTATCTGAATGGAGAGATATAGTGACACGTGGAACACAAATTTCGTAATTTTTTAGTCTTTGTCTCTGCAAAAGGGTCGCTGCTAATGACAAGCAATCGCTTTGGAAATGCTGAGGAAGGAAAATAACAACCCAGGAAAGGTAATTAAATAGAAATACATTATAAAAACAATCTTCAGTAACAAATGTAAAAACTGAAAGGATTACGTGATACTTTGATACTGGATACATAATATGCCAAAAGACCTTGGATGAGGCATGTTAAATTGCAGGAATAGATTTTTCTGTCATAATGACTCAACTAAAACAACAAAAAAAAGCACTGTGCCTGCTCTTGTTCTGTAAGAAATACTAACTTGGCCTAGTATATTATAGGAGGATGTGGGGTTAGGCTATTTTTTTTTTTTTTTGTCAGTTTATGCTCTGTTTTAATAATGCTTTTGCCAGTAGGGTCTGTGTGTACATGCTAACTGCTTACACAAAGAAAGCATTGAGAAAAGATTGTGTAATTAACAAAGGTTCAAGCTGGGAAGCACCATGCTCGAAGATAGGACCATTGTGAAAATCATCCTAATGCATTTTACTTCTTCCCCTTTTCAGAAGGCTGCCAAAGCTACTGAGTTGTTCCCTGAAAGTAAAAGAAATGCTGTTTTTATTTTGTATTTATTTAGACAGCTTTTTGCTTTAACTATTGGTAGTTCTTAATTCTTTACTGAAGGCAGTGGTGGACGTTTGTGGCTTCGTGCTGGAGCTGGGTGAGTGGTTTAGAGGTGTTGCAGCCTGCATGTATGTTCTGTTCGAGCAGAAGGCATCCTTATCCTCTCATTAAGGCACAAGTGCAGTTCAGTCAGTGTTACAGCTGATAGGATGCGCTGGACATAGCTCTCAAAGAAGCTTCTGCTATCAGTGGTTTCTGCACTGGCTGAGGAAAGTGCACTTGGTAGAGGTGTGAAAAAACTCAGTGTTTTGCCCTTGATTGCAGTCTTGCCAGACTGCATCCATCAGTGCCCCCCATGACTGTTCTTTCTCTGCTTTATTTGCCCCTGCACAGGTGATAGTGTGGGTACCTTGCTGTTTCTCTCCCAGGCCGTAGTGTCAAGAAGCAGCAAATCATGTTCTTGTTTGTCATTTGCTGCAGGTGGAAGAGGGATGGAAGTGGCAATAAAATTGCTCATCCAGTTACTGGCAAAAACATCTTACAGTTCGTAGCTATCAAGAGAAGAGACTGTGGGGAGTGGGCCATTCCAGGGGTAAGAGCAAAGCTCTGGAGACGTTAGACATTTTCCTGCTGGTAAGGCCACAGGCGAAAAGTGGCATGCATGTGATAAAAGCGTGTTTTTTGATGAATGACCTCATGTTGCAAAGTTGAGGAGAAATGCTCCTTAAACTATCTTTGCCCAAGCATCAGCTGTTATGCCTTCTGCTGTTTCTGCATTTCAAGGTGGTGTTCTTATTTAATTCTGACCATGTCTTTTGCTTAGTGCAGGCACAATTTAATCCATTGCAGATCTTGAAGGACATGCATGCTCACTCTTTACAACTAAGTTTAAAGTTCCTCCCATGTCCAGAGTATGTTGCAGATGGATGTAAGTCAAAGGGAGTTAAAAACAAGTGGAATCTGAGGGATAGTCACTTTTTTTCTTTCTCCCTCTCTAAGGGGATGGTGGACCCAGGGGAGAAGATTAGTGCTACCCTGAAGCGAGAATTTGGGGAGGAGGCCTTGAACTCCTTGCAGAAATCGCCTGAGGAGAAAGCGGAATTGGAGAAGCAACTCCACAAGCTGTTCAGCCAGGAACACTTTGTGGTGAGCTCTGTGTCTCTTGTGATAGCCTCTTGAGCTATGCATGCAACTCACAGTTACACGGAACTTGAAAAGGTGTAGCTGAAATGAAAAGAAGCTGTTTTGTTTTGGTTGTCATGGTGTAGGAAATGGAAGGGACTATTGAAAACTCTCTTAAGGACAAATGTGTCAGAGGTAAAGAAAATACCTTCTTACTAACTCCACCTTGTTTGTTGTGACACCGACCTTGTTTCTGGTTTGTTTGGCACCTTAGGTGTACAGAGGATATGTGGATGACCCTCGTAACACTGATAATGCTTGGATGGAGACAGAAGCGGTAAACTATCATGATGAAACTGGTAGGAATCTCCATGTGTGCTCTTAGTTGCCTTTCACTCTATATGTTGGTTTGAAATTGGGACATATGTTGGGCTGAGATTGGCAATGAAATTGGGGGAGCATGCAAGTCAGGTGTAAAATATTGGACTAAAACCAATGGGTATGAGGGTCTCTTGTCTCCTAAGATGTTCAGCCATGACAGGTAGTTGTTGTTCCCCTTTAGTTTCTGTCAGTCTTGAAATAAGGAACATACAGACTTTGCCTGAAAATTACTTATTCATTTGTTAGCTAGTTCTAAGCTGTGGGCCATGTGCCTTCATATGGAGATTGAACATTGGACAAGGGTTCCTTCTTCTCACTGTATTTATCTTGAGTTGGTTTAATTTCTCTTTTTAATGAGTCTGGAGTGGAAGGGTAGTCTGTTTCTTTTGTTATTTTTCCTTCAGGAGCATTGTCTCTGTCCGCTGGCATATTTTCACTGCATTTATTGCTTTGGTGTTGTAATTGTGAGACCTTTTATCTTGGTTACTCTGCCAGAGTAATTGTTGGACCTTATTTTACTTGTGTAAATCAGTAGGAATGGGCATACATTGCTCATTCTTTGATTTATCTTAAAAGGTGAGAGATGAGAATCCAAGATAACAGATCAATGTATTCATATAGTGATGTTTCCACTGTAGATACCAGTGGTGAAGTGTCACATGTCCTGGATTTATCAGCCCCCAGAAACAGTGAAGATACTATTCCTTTGGTCTTTGTTTCTAATACACATTTTGTAATACTTTTAAAAGCATTTCTTTGGTTGTTGTCTGTAAAGTCCTGGGACTCTTTTTGGAAACAGAGTAAGAAACTTCTGAGAGCAGTTCAGAAGCCTTTCTGCATCCCTCCTTAAGTACTATTTTTGATTTTGGGGCCTTTAGTAAAATTTTAATTATTCTGGTTTTCCCTAAGCATATGTTTCAGAATTCAGTTTGACCTGTAGAATAGCATCTGAGAAGGGAAACAATCAAATGTTAGCCAAACAAACAAAAATCAAGGCAAAGGGATTGGCTAAACTTGTGGTAGTGAGTACATGTTGTTTTAATGATTTCTAATAACTTGCTGTGCTGCTGATGGTACCCTAGGAGTGGTGACAAGGAGTTAACACCACCTCTGCCACTCAGGTTTGCCTTAAAATAGTGCAAGTATGAAAAAGGTTTCTGTCACAGAATCAGTGAGCAGTTTAATTGGCTTCTCTCTGAGAAGCAGTTGAAGGTTGTGGCCTGTGAAGGAGCCACACGGAAAGGCAGAACTGATCAGATGTGAGGGGGGGGAAAAAAAAAGCAGGAAAGATGCAATAGCATATTGTAACTCTTGTTTTGTGTACAGGTGAGACAATGGATAATTTGCCTCTGGAAGCAGGTGATGATGCTGGAGTAGTGAAGTGGATTGACATCAGCGAGAAGCTCAAGCTGTATGCAAGTCATAGCTACTTCATTAAGCTTGTGACTGAGAAACGGGGAGCCCACTGGAGTGAGGATGAGTGCCGTGAGTGATGTAAATGAGGAACCGACGGACACCAAGGGGGAGAATAAGTTTTCCAGCTTTGAAACAGATTACATCATCCTTTTCAGTGGAAATTCAGTGAAAATTCTGTGAAATTCAGCTGGCAACAATGCTTGGCAGTGATAGAGGCTTTTTCAGAGACTTCAGATTGCTTCTTTTGATTTCTCAGCTAGTGTGAAATGAGGTTAATGTGGAGCTGTTACCTTGTTTTGCTTTCTTGTCTTCATTATTTGCAGCTGTTTCATAAGATCTGCAGATTTCCATGACAACACTGGGATTCCGACTGGTTGTAGTTCAGAGGCTGTTCACTTTAGCTCTGTATTTTTGCACTGATTTCTTGTCAGGATTATGAATTCTTAAGGGATGTGAGGTTTGTAAGATGATAACCTGAATAGTGACTTAAATTAAGTGCTACATAATAAAGTGAAGTTTCTTTTCTTAGTCCTTTCACCTAAAACGTCTTTTCGGTGATTCTCTGAGAGATTAGTTTTCACATTTAATTGCTTTCTAGTTTACAGTATGGATGGTATTCACATCTGAATGTCTGAGAGTGCCCCTGTCTAAAAAGATAACTGTTAGAGGATGTAACTTCATAACTGATTTAAGCTGGATTTTGAGGTTCCTCTCTTTCTACTCCTTATGGCAGTACAGCTTTTGGGGAGACTGTGCCATAAACAGGACCATTGGGAAAAGCAGCCTTAAAGTATAATCTTGTAAATTGTGGTGTTTTTTTACTGTTTAGGTGATTTAAGTAACTTGCAGTCAGGAGGCTGATGTGGGACTTCTGTTACGTTTATGTTGACAAGAGCTGCACAACAGTTGCTGACATGTCTCCCTGCTTTTATTAATCAAGGGGTAATTGCTGTTAATTGTAGTAATGTCAAGAATTGTTGACAGTAACAGCTAAAAGTTGTGCTTGAAACCTGGAGAGGGGATGTTAAAGAACTTTGAGCCTTGTGTTGAAGTAGGGTGGTAATAAATGTCATGGTCTGGTATTCCCTTGTGTAACAGTACTGTGACACGCTCATGCATTGCTGAGACTGTTGCCGACATCCTGCTTAAATAGTGAATGATTTTAGGGCTTGCTTCTTTTCAACACCACCCATTCCTCCCAATTAACTAATGAAATCTGGCGGAGTCATGTCCATTTATATGGGGAACCCTGGGAATCTTGTAGACTTATGAGTATGTTCCTTTCAAAGGAAAAAGTAATGCTAAGAGTTATTAATTTTTCTTTTGATCCTTGCTCATATCTTCCTGCATATTCGATTTCTTCTGTGATTTTACTAAAACAGCATAAATGCTTTCTGTTGCAGTAGAAGCTTCCATAGACTTGGTTTATCTTTCTTCAAATCGTAGATAAGATCTAGTGGTTGCTTAGGCAGAAACAATTTTGATTAATCTCAGCATACATAGTATGGAGACTGGGTAGTATCTGGTAAGGCCATATCAAGACCTGAGATAACCTGCAAAACTCAGAATGGACAAAAGGCATAGCCAGCTTCAGGAGTTCCTTTCCCTTTCTACTCCTGGTCTTTGGAAAAATGATCACTGAAATGACTTGGGTATTTATTTTTTTTTCTTAAGAAAAGATGAAGACAACTAAGAAATTTGATGCTCAGCATTTATTCAAGCTTAACAAATAATCAGACAAGGTTTGAGAGAGCTGTGCACTATAACCCACACTGGCTTCAGAGGTGGGCATGTGAAACATGGTGTGGTTGTTACTTATCCGCAGTTTCCAGTGCACTGGTGAGACAAAAGTAGGGAAGGAGCTGTAGGAAGTTGAAGATTATCTAGAAGCAACAGCGGTATGTAGGAGACATCCATAGTTTTCCATGTGTCTGCAGAGTAAGAAGAGAATGGCCAGCTAGAATTAGTAGCAGTTAATTACTTTAATGTACAATTAATACATTATGCAGAGCAACCCCCTAGCAGTGTAGTTGGGTTTTGAAAGCATGACCACAAGAGCAGACACTTCTTAAGTTCATGGGAGGTGAACGTGTAGCTCATCACAACTGAGAACAAGGGTGACTATACTGTGGCATGTCAAAATAGCATGTTTTTTTTTCTTGCATGTTACTGTTTACATATGCAGCACTTAACATAATGTACAGTACTAAAAATGAAAGCAGACTAAAATAATTTCAATTCTGAAAATACCAAACTCAGTGAGATAGAAAAACTGTACTGTTTCCATAGCCAGTGTGCTCTTCCTGCAAAGCTGGCTAGACGATTTTCAGTTGGAGTGTGTGATCTTAGTATGCTGTACAGAATGCAGTTACTTTATGTATATTGCAGTATCTTACTAAGCAGATCTTGGTGCTTACTTGTGTCCCAAAATTTACTGCATAATTACAATATTGAAAGTTTCTAAGTAAGTAAATGTAGTGGTGGTACTTCTTGTTTGGCAAATCTTCTGGAAAGTGGTCAACTTCTCTGTATGGGTGATGCTAGCTTGTATATTAATGCAAATTAGACGTTGTGTTAATTTTCAGCCCTACATGTTGTCTCTAACTTATCTTTAACTACTTTTTAAAAATATCTAAAGATCATCTATACCCAAGGACAAATACACAGACAAATACTCAAAGAATATCTCAGGAACAGCAGCAGAATTTTGAGAAAGTTCGTAACCTCTTTTCAAGATGAAGAAATAAAAGGCGGTTTGTATTAAAAAAAATAACCAGTTTCCCCATATAATGCATCTCTTCTAATTAGAAAGCAAAGTGGATTACTCTTATTGAGCTTCAAAGATAAATTGCAGTCCCTGCCCAGCTCCCTTCTATGGTAGTTTTGTCGTTCAGAAGCTGCTCTCTCAGTATCCCTGATGGAGTGCTGCCTAGCCAGCTAGAGTTTCCTGCAGTCTAATGTCCCATTGTACTACCGGACAGTTCAGTTACCTCAGACTTGAGCTCAGTAAGCCTGCAGAGCACCCCTGTAGCCTGGGCGTCTAGAGGAGCGAGCAACAGCTTTCAGGAACCTATCTTGTTCCTGTGAAAAGAAAGTCATCTCGTGTCAGTATTTTCCTGTTCAGTACCAAAATCTCCAGTTAAATACAAATGTTAGAACTAGTGACACTCTGTCAATTTACGAAGAAAAGACTTGCATTCTCCATGCTCTCCGAGCTGTCCGAGCTTGAACTGTCCGAATAGTCCTCCATACTGTCCGAACCGGAGCTTTCACTGCTGCTATCCTGTAGAAAAAGAATGCATTTTCTTTTAGAGTAAGATATAATTCTTCCTGCTTGTATTTCCTTTAAAAAAAATTATCAAGTACATAATTTTGGGTTTTATTTTTTCTTTTGCTGTTAGAAAGCAAAGATAGTTCTGGTAAGGGAACTTAATCTTCAATATCTGTAATACCGTCAGCTGAAATAGCTAATGGAGAAAATAAGGCCTTTTTGTTGGGCTGGGTATGAGCTTGTTACTAGTGCTTACAATTTCTTTTTTTCTTTAAAGTTTAAGGAAGGCTTAAGTTGAGAATCTAGAATCATATTAACATAAATAAGTTTAGACCTGTACTAAACCTGAGTATTTTTAAGGCTGCTGTATTAGTTTAAAAGCATGTGATTTCCAGTTTACAGTGTTAACATTTCCCACATTGGATGCCTGTTTAATTTCTTCAGTACTTACTGCGTTCGCAACAGCAAGAACCATGCTCAGAACACAGGAAAGCAACAGGAATTGCATTTTGAGAGAGAGTCCTGTGAAGCAAATTAAAAACAAAGAGTTAGTGTCCTGATTTTGGCAAAAAGAAAGACCTGGGGGGAGTATGGCTCTTGTCTGTGAAGAGAAGGGAAAATCAGACAGCTGGAGCTGTTCCTAGTTGAGCACAGCTTGTGGTGTGACCTTAACTGTCATCTCTGTATCTTAGTTGCTCACATAAATGGTCAGGAATGGAATAAATAAATGGAATAAAAAGTCATCACGGAATAAAGCTTGCGATGCTTCTGCTTCCTGCTACTTTGTCTGTGCTTTGAAATCTTGTCAGCATTTTGCTTCTTACTATTTTTGTCTTTGATTTTACCTCTTCCTAGTTTTACTCTTTCCTAACAATTCTTATGGAAGCCTTTTGCAATTTTTTGTTTTAAGCAACACGCATAACAGCAGAGCATTGGTATTTCTCTCAGTAGTTCTTGTCAGATGCTCTTTTTTCAGACTCATAGAATGGTTGAGGTTGGCCGGGACCTCTGGTGATCATTTAGTCTGTTCCCCACGCATACTCAAACAGGGTCAGCTAGAGCTAGTTGTCCAGGACTGTCCAGCCAGGTTTTGAGCGTCTCCCAGGATGGAGAATCCACAACCTCTCTGAGCAACCTATGCCAGTACATGACCATTCTTGCCATGGGAAAAAGTTTTTCCTTCTCATTCACAGTCATGCAGTCTACAGCCATACCCCAAATGATTTTTTGTTATGAAATTTAGTCCAGGTAATATTAAAGCATCTGTATTACCTTTGAATTGCATGTTGAACAGCTCGTCAGTGGATCAGATGTGGTCGGCTGGCTCCAGTGAGTGTTGTGTGGATGGCTGCTGTCTATATATACAGTTTTGAGTACTATGGCTGTGTGAGCTGGCACAGGCAGGACGCAGGAAAACCGCAAAACGAAATGAACCATACCTTCTTAAGACCTTTTGGATATTTAGTTTACTTCTCAGCTGATAAAGAACCAGGTGGTTTGTTTTGTTTTTTTTTTCCTGACCCCTACTACCCCTTGGAAGATTGATGGGTTTGGCAAGGGAAGTATGTGTGTTATAAAAGGAATATTTGTCGTGTATTTTTTTAAATACAGATATTCTGACTGTAGGGTTCTGCACTTTAGTGATGCTGGAGGAATACTTGGGTGATAATGCCTATAGTACTGAAGCTCCTAACTGAGAGGGAGCATTACAAATTAAAAAATAACCTCCTAACTTGTGAACTAAAGTCACTGCTACCTTTTGAGGCCACCTGTGTACCAGCCATGTACTTGCAGTTTGAGCTGTGTTTTCTGACATCTGACTATATGCAGGTTAAGCAAAAAGCTATTGAAAGACAAACTTATTTAAAGTTTTCAATTACAGAGTTTGCTTGGTCCTTCTGTTTGGTGATGATTTTAGTAGAAAAGCCTGAACTGATAAATAAGTTTAAATTAATACATGTATCTGGGGAGAATCTCGTAGGATGCAGTTCAGAAGTTGGCATTATGTTGGATCTGTTTGAGACCACTGACATCAACAGCTCATCTCTGTGCCTTGTTCTGGGGACATATCAGAGCATAAAGCATAATACATACTTGTTGGATCACGCATGCACTTGCAGCTTAATAAAGATGTGAGGTGAACTGTAAATTTGTTACAAAGCATCCTATTTGCCTGTTGTGGAGGCAATAGAGTAGATATTGGTCATAAAGCACAGGGATGAAAGAGCAGAAAGAAGAGAACATGCTTTTTATAGGATTTTCTACATTGGCATGTTTGTGTTTGCACAGTTTTTTGTTGATTAGTTGGAAAGATTGTCCTCACTCTCAATGAAAGTAACTATTAATAGTGACTAAAAGAATTCCCCAAAACCCCAGTTCCCCTCCCCTCCCCCCAAAAAAAACCCACAACCCAAAACCAGATAGAAATGGAAATGCCCTTCAGATATATTTGGGAAATGTGCTGAAATGCTGATTGGTTCTTTTCCTGTAAAGTACATGCAAGGCCGCCAAGAGGAAGAACGTGTTCTCCAGAGTTCATCATGTAAGGATGTTTTTTTGGGGAAGCATTCATGCAAAGCTGATCAGTGTTCTGCCACAAAGTTTAAAATTGTGACCCCATACCTGTTGGCATGGACTGTTGAGCCAGAATCCCCAGGCAAGGTGGTGGTCACCTCTATTTCCTTCTTTTTGGAGTATTCCGTGAGGCCATGCAGGAGGACTGAAAATTAAACTTAATGCAAACACATCTGGTATCAATGCAACACTGATAAGGAGATTGATCTCCTTTGAAAAGGAGATTTGGATGGCCAGGTCAGTGAAAAGAGGCAAGATGTTTAATTTAGATTCATTAAAACTAAATAGAAACAATCAAGTCTACAGAAGGCCATTAAAATTATTACTAGCTTTATCTTCTCTACTTCACCAAATGCAGAAATAATGAAGATTAAAATATGTGTAAGTTAAGCTACAATACTATTAATATAGTTAAAGTACTGATGGGGAAATAACCTTCATTTATAGTTAAAAATTATAAGAATATTAAGAGTAGATTAAATATTGGTGGTGCTTGCTCTGTCGTGGACTACAAGAGCTCAGGTGAAAATTTTTCTTGCACTGTAACTGTAGCATCTACGCATACATTAGCAAATGCTCCTTTTCTATGTCTTGCGGTGGAAAAGTGGAAGTGGCAGCATCAGTGAGGATTTCAAAACAGGTGGGATGCTGATCTGCTCCTTAATACATTAGGTGCTTCATATATCCACGACTGTAATTGTCTTGGTGATAGTCCTTGTTTGCCCTGGGACTGTTTAAAGGAAAATTTTCCTTGTTTGCCCTGATAAATTCAATTTCGTTGTATCTTTTTCCAGTACTGGGTTTGAGCGTAGCAATGGTGACTATTAGCCTCAGTGGAGAATATGTCAATCCCTTGGGAGTTTTCCATGTGTGAACTGTATTTGATTGTTTTAAGGTGGCTGACTCTTGGCTGTAGAAAGAGCAAATAAGAAATAGGCTGCAGTCAGGCAGAAAAAATGCTGTCAAAATTACTTATTCCCTGAGACATTTGAAGTCCAAGAGAAATGATCTTTTTCAAATGGAATTAGCACAGAGAATATGCTTATGTACATGCAGTCCAGGTTAATTTATATAAACTGCTGTGTGATGTTACAGAATGTGAAGTGGGCAACAAGTCAGGCTTCTGGGAGAAGCTGTCAGTGAAACTGGTTTTGGTGGGAAATAATCTTTTGTTTGTGTAAGAAGTGCCAATGTTGAAAATAATCTTATCTTGATTCATTGTCTCCTGGGGCATGAGGCTGGAGTTGGACTAGGATTAGCAGCCTTTGCTGGTTGAGGAGAAAATTAGTGAGGGGCAAGTGGACTTCCACTATTTGAGCTACCAAACCAGCTATTCTGAATCCCTTTTTCTTTTCATTGGAAAGGTGACATGGTTCAGGTGAAATGTGTCTTTTGATCTTCCTTTGTAGGAATAGCATTTGGGACTTCTTACTTACAGCAGAGAATACCTGGAGTGTTTTCAGTGAAGTGCGTGTCTTAAAATCACAAAGTTAGGAAGAGAGCCTGAGAGAGTTGGGGCTGTTCAGCCTGGAGAAGAGAAGGCTCTGGGGAGATCTTATTGCGGCCTTCCAGTACCTAAAGGGGGCCTACAGGAGAGCTGGAGAAGGACTTTTTACTAGGGCATATAGTGATAGGACAAGGGGGAATGGCTTTAAACTGGAAGAGGGCAGGTTTAGATTAAACATTAGGAATAAATTTTTCACTTTGAGATTGTAAGGCACTGGAGGTTGCCCAGAGAGGTTGTTGAGGCCTCATCCCTGGAGGTGTTCAAGGCCAGGCTGGACGTGGCCTTGGGCAAGCTGGTCTAGTGGGAGGTGTCCCTGTCTATGGCAGGGGGTTGGAACTCGGTGATCTTCAAGGTCCTTTCCAACCTAAACCATTCTATGATTCAGGAGTAATCTCATTCTGTCCTGTTTTTTTTATGCCTAAATTTTGCCTGTCTTCAGGCAAGCAAAAGTTGGGAGATGATGAAAGAAATAGTTAGCATTTCTCTCAGGAAAAATGGTAGCAGTAGTCAGTGCTTCTGTGGGGTGAAGGAAGAATGTGCCTGCTAAGGAGAATAAGGAGGTGTTCGAGCTGTTATATCCTGTGTCCCTTGTGATGGTGGGCCTGTTGCTAATCAGTCTTTTGACATGCCTCCACACTCAGCATGCTCATACAATTAGTTCATTA